TTCAGCAAACATATTATAATCTTCTGACATGTCTGTCTTGTCCTCCACTCCCATGATGTTTCTTTTCCCTGAAAGAACAATGTGGCACTTTGGATCATCGCATGATGTACTGATCGTTTTCTTATCTTTCCGTTTCCTCGGTTTGCTACTCATGTCCTTCACATAGAAAACCTGAGCGACATCTTTTGCTAGGACGAATGGTTCGTCAAGGTAACCAAGATTGTTGAAATCCACCATTGTCATTCCGTATTGCTGGTCCACCTTTACCCCACCTCCTGTTAGCTTGAACCATTTGCACCGGAACAAAGGGACCTTAAAGGAGGGTCCATAGTCAAGTTCTCATATCTCCTCTATGTAACCATAATATGTGACCTTTTGCCCATTCTCGGTTGCTGCATCAAAGCGGACATCACTGTTTTGGTTGGTGCTCTTTTTATCTTGGGCGATCGTGTAAAATGTATTCCCATTTATCTCGTACCCTTGGAAAGTCGTTATAGTCGAAGATGGTGTCTTGGCCAACATGTACAGCTGATCTACAACATCATTGTCATTCATTAAATGTTTTCTCAACCAACTGCCGAAAGTCTCCATGTGGGCCTTCCTAATCCAGGATTCAGGCTTCCCCGGGTTGTCCGAGCGTAAAATATTCTTGTGTTTCTCAAAGTACGGAGCCACCAAGCTGGAATTGGTCAGTACAGTGTGGTGTGCTTCAGTCAGAGAATCGCTGTCCATACATATCATTGATTTCCTTCCGATCGTGCCTTTTCCACTTAGTCTCCCCTCGTGCCGCGATCGAGGAAGACCAATCAGCTTAAGGTCAGGAACAAAGTCAACACAAAACTCAATTACCTCCTCATTTCCATAGCCCTTGGCGATGCTTCCTTCTGGCCTAGCACGGTTACGAACATATTTCTTTAATACTCCCATGAACCTCTCGAAGGGGAACATATTGTGTAGAAATACAGGACCGAGAATGAAAATCTCTTCGACTAGGTGAACCAGGAGGTGCGTCATAATATTGAAGAAGGATGGCGGGAACACCAACTCGAAACTGACAAGACATTGGATCACATCGTTCTGTAACCGTGGTAGAACTTCTGGATTGATTACCTTCTGAGAGATTGCATTGAGGAATGCACATAGCTTCACAATGGCTACTCGAACATTTTCCGGCAGGAGCCCCCTCAAAGCAATCGGAAGCAATTGCGTCATAATCACGTGGCAGTCGTGAGACTTCAGGTTTTGGAACTTTTTCTCCGCCATGTTTATTATTCCCTTTATATTGGACGAGAATCCAGACGGGACCTTCATACTGCTCAGGCATTCAAAAAAGATGACCTTCTCTTCTTTGGTCAGAGCGTAGCTGGCACGACCTTGAAACCATTCCGGATGACGGTCATCAGGGTCTTTCAAACGTTGCTGGTCCTGCCGTGCTTCCTTCGTATCATTTGTCTTCCCATACATGCCCAAGAAGCTTAGGAGGTTCACGCAAATATTCTTCGTAACGTGCATCACGTCGATTGCAGAGCGGACTTCTAGGACTTTCCAATATTCTAGCTCCCAGAATATAGATTTCTTCTTCCACATGGCTGCGTGCCCGTCAGCTCCCTTCGGAACTGATTGTCCGCCAGGACCCTTTCCAAAGATGACTTTCAAATCCTTGACCATATCAAATACCTCAGCACCAGTGCGTTCCGCAGGCTTCGGCCGGTGATCTGCCTTGCCGTTGTAATGCTTGCCTTTCTTTCTTACTGGATGAATTTTCGGAAGAAATCGACGATGTCCAAGGTACACGTTCTTCTTACAATTTGGCAAATGTACACTTTTAGTCTCATGTAAGCAGTGCGTGCATGCATTGTATCCCTTATTTGACAGTCCCGAAAGGTTACTAAGAGCAGGCCAATCGTTGATGGTTACGAAAAGCAACGCTCGTAGGTCAAATTCCTCTTCTTTGTGCTCATCCCACACACGGACACCAGGTCTGCCCCACAGCTGTAAAAGTTCATCAACTAATGGCCTTAGGTACACATCGATGTCGTTGCCGGGTTGCTTCGGACCTTGGATGAGCACTAGCATCATAATGAACTTTCGCTTCATGCACAACCAAGGAGGAAGGTTGTAGATGCATAGAGTCACGGGCCAGGTGCTATGGCTGGAGCTCTGCTCGCCAAAAGGATTCATGCCATCTGTACTTAGACCAAATCTTATGTTCCTTGCGTCAGCTGCAAAATCTTTGAACTCTCTGTCGATCTTTCTCCATTGCGTTCCATCTGCGGTGTGTCTCAACTCCCCGTCCGACTTACGGTCCTCTTTGTGCCATCGCAACAACTTGGCATGCTCTTTGTTCCTGAACAGACGTTTCAACCGTGGTATTATAGGAGCATACCACATCACCTTCGCGGGAACCCTCTTCCTGGGTTTCTCGCCCTCAACATCGTCACCAGGGTCATCGCCTTTGATCTTATAACGCAATGCAGTGCATACCGGGCATTCATTCAAATTCTCGTATTTACCGCGGTAGAGGATGCAGTCGTTGATGCATGCATGTATCTTCAGAACCTCTAAACCTAGAGGACAGACAACCTTCTTTGCTTCGTACGTACTGGCGGGCAACTCGTTATTCTTTGGAAACATATTCTTCAACATTTTCAGCAAGTTTTCAAATGCCGAGTCAGCTACACCTGCCTGTGCCTTCCATTTCAGCAAATCCAGTGTGCAGCCCAGCTTTTTCAGACCATCATCGCATCCGGGGTACAACGACTTTCTGTGATCCTCTAACATGCGATCCAAATTCTCCCTCTCCTTTTCAGTTTCGCAGCGTCTCCGTGCATCAGCAATGGTCCGACCAAGATCATCAACGGTCTCATCACGTGCCTCTTCTTCACCTTCACCTTCCCCTTCACCTTCCCCTTCACCTTCAGCATCCTCCATGAAAGTATCACCGAAATGAGCAAGATAGCTTTCATCGATGAAATCATCCCCTTCTTCATCTTCTTCCATTATAACCCCTCTTTCTCCATGCTTGGTCCAACAATTATAGCTTGGCATGAAATCGTGCCGAAGCAGGTGCAGGTGAACTTCTCTTGAGGAAGAGTAACCCTTCTGATTCTTACAGTCAACACATGGACAGATAACAAAACCCTTCTGCTTGTTCGCATTAGCCACTACGAGGAAATCTTTCAAACCCGTAGTGAACTCGCGGGAGAGTCGGTTACCGTACATCCATTGCCGATTCATCTGCATTATTATAATATAAAATATATAATTAACCATCATGCATTTGTTAAACTAACTAGCTATAAACAATAGAAATTAAACAATGAACAACACACATGCATATTTTATCAATGACACACATGCATGAAAGGTTCAAGTTGCTAACCGCGATCGAGGAGGAAAAAATAAATGAGGAACCTCAAGTGTGGCTCCAACACTTCATATCATGTTTGTTTCACGCTCTTGGGGCATTTCATCAAACACCTTGTGTGCATAAGAGGAACCAAAAGCAAACCTACACCCCTTGTGAAGCTTGCGAAGAGAAGTGGCACCAAATGGCTAAGTGAGTGTGCTGAACTGGTATATATAGGGGAGGAGCTTTAGTTGCGGTTGGCCTGGCCAACCGCGACTAAAGGCCTTTGGGCACCTTTAGTCGCGGTTGGCCTGGCCAACCGCGACTAAAGCCCCTCACGTGCACCAGCTGGCCACCGAGCGCCCTGGGCCCAGGCATTTGGTCGCGGTTCGTCTGCCGAACCGCGACTAAAGACTTCATTAGTCGCGGTTCCTACAGTTTCGCGACTAATGGGGCTGGACGGAAGCCTCTTTTTCTACCAGTGTGTATCATTCTGCTTCATGAAGACACTTACGTAATTTTAGAGACTCCATTATATCTTAGTAATAAAGTAGCTAGAGTACTTTGTAAAATTACCAACTATTAAGCCTATCTATGAAACCAATAAAACATGAGCAACATATACTGTGAGATGATTTTAACACATTACTGCTTCCTGCCTATATAAGTACCCTCTCCGGTCCTTTTTAATTCGCATATAAAATTTTTCTGAAGTCAAATTTCGTAAAGTTTGACCAACGTTATATAAAAAAATATGAACTTTCACAATGTGAAATCATTATCAGTAGATGCGCCGTGACTTAAATTTTCATATTGTATAAATTTAGCATTGTAGGTGTTGATAATTTTTCAGATAAATATGGTCAAACTTTATGAAGTTTGACTTCAGACAATTCTAATATGCAGAGTAAAAAGGACCGGAGGGAGTACATTAGTATTAGTGCGGTGAAGAAATGAAAAAAATGGGGTTACTTCTCCACCGCACAGGTAGTGCGTCTCCGGGAGCAAAAAATCGGGAAGGCTTGCGCATATCTTTTACAGTCATTATTTTAGCCTTGAATGATTCATAGTCTCGTTCAACCGCTTCATACGCTTGACCGAGGATCGGCTTTTACAAATTAGTATTCCCTCCATTAAGAAATATAAGACCTTTTAGGTCACTAAAGTAATGATCTGAAAGGTCTTATATTTGTTTAGAGGGAGTAGTACATAAGAGAGAGGGAGTATTATCTTAGTCTTGGATGCTTCAAAATCCTTGGTACAATTTATAGTTCTTCGCTCTCTTTTTTAAGCAACAAGAGCGACAGCACTGGTTCTACTGTCTGGTTTGGTCTACGTATACATCGAATGTTTGGAAGCTAGTACCACATTACTGTGCCGTGTGAGACATGCAACGGAGCCATCCACAAATCAGTATGCAATTGCCTCCGACACGGATCACTTTGACCGACCCCTTAGCTGGCTCTGTCCGTAACTCTCCATCAAGCACGGCAGGTTCTGCGGACTTCCAAGCCCACAGTTGTTCTCTTCTTTGACATGTATATATTCCGTTAACATGTCGACAGAGGTGTGCTCAACTATTTAATGTGCTGCCATCACCTCTCAGAAATAAAGAACCACAGCCAATTCCATCCAGCCTAGCTAGCTAGACATGGAGATAGACCCACCACCAAAAATGCTTGACTCTCTCACCATGACCATACTGATGATGATGATGGCCACCTCCATCGCACTTGCGTCGGATGCAGTGGTGCTCGAAGGACAAGCAAGAGCACTCCTTGTCTGGAAAGATAGCCTCGACAACCAAAGCAAGCAAGCCCTGCACTCCTGGGGAAACACGTCGACGCCTTGCAATTGGCGCGGCGTCAGTTGCGATACCGGTGTGCAGCGACACCAGCATTTGCCGGTGATCAGCGGCATCTCTCTACGGGGTATGCGGCTGAGAGGGGCTCTGGAGTCCCTCAACTTCTCGGCCTTGAGGACCTTGGCACGCCTCGACCTCTCACACAACCTCCTCGCTGGGAACATTCCTCCTAGTATCGAGGTCCTTGGTGAGCTCCATGCTCTCCTTCTGCAAGGCAACCAGATAAGAGGCTCAATCCCACTAGGTCTAGGAAATCTCACAAAGTTGCATTCCTTAATGCTTCACGAAAATGAACTCTCCGGTGAAATACCAAGCCAGATAGGCAACATGAGTAGTCTTTTCACCCTCAACTTGTCAATCAATCACTTGGTTGGTCATATCCCTTGTGAAATAGGACACATCAAGCACTTAGTTGCATTAGATTTGTCCAGTAATAATCTTTTCGGCAAAATACCAAGCAGCATAGGTGGTTTGACCGAACTCACTAGCTTATACCTTTACTGTAACAAACTTTCTGGACAAATTCCACGAGAACTAGGTTATCTTCTAAACTTAAAGGACCTGCAACTTGGCATCAACACACTCTCAGGTTCCATTCCAGGAAATTTTCATAATTTGACCAAGCTCACTGTGTTAATTCTACGGCAAAACAAACTTTCTGGGTTAATTCCACAAAAAATAAATTACCTTTCGAACTTACAGTACCTCAGTCTTAGTGAAAACATACTCTCGGGTTCCATCCCAAATAGTATAAAAAGTTTGACCAAACTCACAACCTTGTCCCTTCACAACAACCAACTTTCTGGGTTAATTCCACAAGAATTATATTACCTTGCAAACTTAGAGTACCTGGATCTTAGTGAAAACATATTCTCAGGTTCCATCCTAAATAGCATAGGAAATTTGACCAAACTCACAGTCTTGTACCTTTACAGCAACCAACTTTCTGGGCACATCCCTCGAGAACTAGGTCGCCTTGTGAACTTAGAGGATTTGGAGCTTAGCGACAACACACTAACTGGTTCCATCCCAAATAGCATAGGAAATTTGATAAAACTCACGGCATTGTACCTTGACAGCAACCAACATTCTGGACACATCCCTCGAGAACTAGGTTACCTTGAGAACTTAGAGAATTTGTCGCTTAGTAACAACACACTATCAGGTTCCATCCCAAATAGCATAGGAAATTTGACCAAAGTCACTATCTTATATCTTTTCATGAACGAAATTTCTGGACACATCCCTCGAGAACTAGGTCGCCTTGTGAATTTATGGGATTTGGCTCTTGGCCAGAACATGCTAACTGGTTTTATCCCAAATAGCATAGGGAATTTGACGAAACTCACAACCTTGTACCTTAGCAGTAACCAACTTTCTAGACACATCTCTCGAGAACTAGGTCGCCTTGAGAACTTAGAGGATTTGATGCTTCACAACAACACACTAACAGGTTCCATCCCAAGTAGCATACGAAATTTGACCAAACTCACAAGTTTGTACCTTGATAATAACCAACTTTCTGGGCACATCCCTCGAGAACTAGGTTATTTAGTCAATTTAGACTACTTGTATCTTAGCTACAACACACTGACAGGTTCCATCCCAAAAGACCTAGGCAATCTCACAGAACTCGTTGGCTTGTACCTTGAAAATAACCAATTTTCTGGTCACATTCCCCGAGAATTAGGTTATTTGGTCAACTTAGAGTCCTTGTCTCTTAGAAATAATTCACTAACTGGTCCCATCCCAAATAGCCTTGGCAATCTGACAAAACTATATAAATTGGACTTTCGCCAGAACCAACTTTCTGGGCAAATTTCATGAGAATTGGTTGGCAACAACAGACTTAACACATATTTCATCACAAACAGCCTAGACTATCTTGCAGTAGAATTATCTTTGTGGAAAATTTCACAAGAAGCAGAAGGTGCACCATCCTCATCCACCCCTGCTGCTGCTCCTCTCCCTCACGGAACGGGACCAAACCCCTGCGCCAGCTCCGCTGCCGTGGCACAAGCACCTCCTCATGGTGGCCCACTCCGCCTGCTCCTCTCCTGCACTCGTCCTCCTCGCAAAGAGAAAAGCCCACACCCTCGCCGCTGGGTCACTCGACACCGGCGCGCTCACCAGCGACTAGGCCACCGCCCAGCCACCGTGGCGTCCGCGCCGGTGGCCCTCGCCCTCGCCGCCTTCTTCGACTGCTGCACGACCCCTCTCGCCTGTGCCACCGATGTCGTTGACCTGCTCTCATGCGAGGACATTACAAGGTAAAGTGAAGAAAGCTACGGAGAACAGTATTAGCGAGGAGGAGATTCCCTAACGTTCCCAAGGTACTATGAATTAATGAACCATTGTGCACGGTCTGGTTACGTATGTTGAGTAGATTTCAGAAGCATCTTGAACAAATAGACAGTAAATTTTGTAGGGCCTTTTTGTCGGAATGATTGTGTGTTCAGTGCTCGTATATGTCATTTGTGATCTTTGTGTGGAGCCATAACCCTGATTATTCATTATGCTGCCTGTGACTTAGGTGCAAGAGAAGGGGTGTACCAGATGAAACACTGAGAAGATTGCAAGTCTAGTGAAGACCAGAGGACTGGCGCAACTCATTTCTAGCGCGCCTTCATAAGCCTCCTGTGCAACGCTCAGTTCCAAGAGCTCTCCATGCAGGATCTCTTCCTGACCTACCCCGTGACGCTGCCGGTTTACGTCGACTGGAAAAAGGCAGCCGAGTCCAACGCCATCATGTTCCGGTGAGTGTTGGTCCTGTGACTTTATAGTTTGTTGGGTGCACACAAAAGGGAAATGGAGCTCCCGTGGTACGACTAATTGTTTACATTGGCAGGCGTGGATATTCGACTGAGCCAAAATAGGCTTGCTGTTGGTGGAGAAACTTGATTACCTGTAGTCCAAACTGTTGCAGAATATTTTCTTCTGCCTTTCCAAACCCTTGATGCACCAAGGAGGACACTTTGATGCCACTGGCTGCTCAAACGGGCGAGGCGACCGAGGAGGCCCTGATGCCACTGGCCGTGCAACTTGTACGCGGTAGGTGCACTCGACGTTGTTCAACCTCTGCGCTACTGCTGCATAGTGATCATGCTACTGACGGAAAGGGCACCAAGTTGCTTCTTCGCGTGGATTCTGCAGTGGTTACCCAAGCTATCCCTGACTCTTGTTTGCTCCCAGTTGTCCTAAACTGGAGCCCCTACAGTACAGGAAAAGTGAAGAAAGGTACGGAGTGCAGTGAATGAATCAGCGAGGAGGAGATTCCCTAAAGGTCCCATTATATTGCGCACGGTGTTGTTATTACTTATGTTGAGTAGATAGATTTCAGAAGCATCTTGAATTCAATTTTGTACTACCTTTTTCCTGCTTGAATGTTTATCCTTACTCCTGCTACAGGGATCACGTGACTTTGGGGGAGATCAAATGGCCATAAGGCGGCATGCACTTTTTTTTAGAACAAAGGCTCAAGGAGAGCCCGGCTTTGAATTAACAAAGCCATCAACCGGCCAGGATTACAACCACTGCATTACAAACTCGAACAAACAAAAAACAAAACACGGCAAGATACAAGGGTGCTGGAAGGCAACTCTCAAAACCTCACACACTACAGCTAGGAGATAGCACATGATAAGCATGAGCTGAAGCACGCAGAGGCCCTCGTCCACCCAAGGCTCACCAGGGAAGGAGAAATGGGGTTCCGGGAAGCGCCCGCTGTCGAGGATAGGCTATGACGGCACCGAACACCAAAGCCCTGGAACAACATCACCATCCACTCCCACTGTCGAAAGAGGCCCCTGCCTCCTCGCCTGGCTCGAAAGGCGCCGAACTGTCGACATATGGGTTGCGCACCCTAGAACATGGATGGAAGGATGCAACCAAAAGGAGTAGGAACAGAGCACACCCTACATGACTAAGAAACTTCACCAGAAACACCACATCACCGCTGCCCACTGACGATCCTTTGGAGAGGAGAAAGATGCCGGTCAGACAACAACAGGGTGTCCAGGGAGGACGGAGCAACGAGGAGGCAGGGCCAAGGCCGAGGAATGACGCTCCAGCACTCACAACTTGCACTACTGTAGCCGCCGGAGGAGGGGAATCCGATCCCCTCCTGGCCAGAGGCCGCCGGACCAAGCTGTCACCAGTTGCACAGAGAGCACCAGCAGAAACCCGAACACTGCCGGACCTGCCAAGCCGCCGCCGCCGCCACTTGGGGCACACAGTCGCCGCCGTCCGACAACCACCACATCGTAGTGCCCACAATCCAAAAAGCATCCAAGGCGACGACTTCAAGAAGCAAACGGAGCCAAGAGCACCGTCGCCGCCCAACAAAGTTCGAGCTTTCACCCGGGAGGCTAGGGGAAGGGGAGGGTGGAGCAAAAGACCTGAATGGCGCCTCCAAGAAGGGGAGTGGCGTCCATGGACGTCGCCGCCATGGATTTCTCCCGGTCAAGGCTCCACACCACCAACACCACATCCAGCTCCAGGCACCGGAGAACCAAGTCGACCCGGACCAGATCTGAAGGGGTGGAGCACGCAGGGCAGCAGAAGGGGGAAGGGGCGGCCAGATCCGGAGCCGAAGAGGCCAGAAGCCCCACTGCCGGTGCCGCGGATCTCGTC